TTTATTTACTTTATTAACTTTATTTACTTTATTTACTTTATTAACTTTATTTACTTTATTTTTTCTATTTTCATGTAGTATTTGCTCTTCCATTTACTATAACTGCTGAACTTGCTTGGTTCACTGTTCCCACTATTTTCCTTGTCGCCTTTATTCTTTTTGGTATTTTAGCTGTTGGTATGTATTATCCATTAGTTGTATTCTTTCAATTGATTCATACATTAACAATAATATTAAAATTCTGTTAATTTTCATGAATAATAGGCACGGAAATTGAGAATCCATTTGGTAAGTTGTGCCTGAAGCTTTAATAAATTGATTTAAAAAAAAGTTTAAAAAATTTTTTTTTCATAGGATACGATGAAAATGATCTTCCGTTGGATGATTATTGCAAGGTAAAGATAAATTAATATTTCAATTTTCTTTATTAGAACTAATACTCAAAATTATTATAATTGCACTTTAGGATTTGGAAGCAGAAGTCAAATATTTGGAAAGGCATCTTCCAGCCCAGGAAGAAAAAGACATAATCCACTAAATGTTATATAATAGATTTTATTTAATGCTAAATTTTTTAGTATTTATTAGTTTGGTAAACGTTGGTTTTTTTTTTTGATTGAGATGTTACAATTTGAATGATGTACGTAGAGCAGTTAAGTGTACATAGAGCAATCAAGTTACTATATTTTGATGCTTGTATGTATGTACGTACACACATACACGTAGCAAGATATTAAAATAGATGCTAGCTGTTTGATGATATTTTAATCTTTTTATTTTTTTCGTAAATAAAAAAAAATTTTTAAATTCAAATCCAGATTGTCCAATCCAATCCATTCATTACATCCAACTTATAATTAAAAACAGTATACGTATCACTGATTAGTTAACGCTAAATGTCGTAGAAAGTCATACCTACTACTATGATTTCAAGTTGGTGAATCTTAGTATATACACGGCATTAGAAAAATGTATCGTATCTTATGTAGGATAAAAAATTAATCTAAATTACTTAACGTTTCTTAAAAAAAACACACATATAATATAGATTTATCAAAGTCTAAAAAATCGAAAAAATCTGGGCTACGATTGCTTTTTTTTCATTGAGCGCACTGATTAGTTAAGATTAGTGCACACTTAAATTGAATCGAATTTTCAATAAACTCATTTATTGGTATCCTTTAATCAACTCAATGAAAAATGAAAGTACTAAACATCCAAAAACAGGCATGCAAACTTAAATCGGTTCTTCTTTACATAAATATATTAAGAACTACATTTTTTGCACCATTAATTATTACGTTTTTTTAATACATGATGAGATTCATAACTATTTTATAATTGATCTTATTATTATCTGAATGAGTCAAAATTTTGAGTGCTGCATTATTCTTGTTTATATACATATAATAATTCATTTGAATTAGTAGTTGCTGACACGAATGATGATGCTAAATCATCACAAGGCTGTTTATTCGACCTGATCGATTTTTTCAAAAATACAGTATGAAACGAATTAGTAATTGTCATAAATAGTGTTGTCATTGGATATCTTTGGACTATACTTGCCGCCCAAACCCGGACAAATCCCAAACCCCCAAAAAACAAATTGCTTTTATAAGAAATTAAATCAAAAAATTAATTTTAATATTTTGTAAATATATTATATATAGTTATAAAAATATATAACATTTGTTTAAATAAAGATTGTTAACAAAGTTTTTGAGATAATAGTTGAGTTTGGGATTTGGGCGCGGACAAACCCAAACTATAATAGTTTGGGATTTGGGCGGCAAGTATACTTTGGACAATTGTCAAAATAAATAAATAAATCAATAAATAAGTAAATGAACTTGAAATTGTAAAAGTTTAAGATAGCGTTCTCAAATCCAACAATATAAACAACTAATTACATAATTCTAATAACCAACTATAACATGATTTTACAGAGAAAGATTTTAATACTAAAATGTTGACATGAATTTATTTTTTAAGCGTTTAAAATTTATTTCATAATATTGAGAACTCTTCCGGAATTTCCACTTCATCGATCGGAGCGCTGACAATTGCCATTTTTGATAATGCTTTCGTGATCTTTTGCGTGTAATGGACTTTGATGTGTAGATATTACGATCCGGATCTTTTTGTACGATACTTGGTAGTTTTTTAACCATCTTATCAGCCTCTAAAAATTGCTTTTTAATTCTTCTTGTGTTAGTTCCATGCGCAAGTTCTTCGATCCAAGCAGTAAT